CACAGACCACCATACAGAGACTCAGAGAGATGTGAACTAGTGAAGATCAGCTGTAATTAATATTTTACAGTGATAAATAGATTGGGAAAATCCCCTTTAATTTTTTTCCCTTTCCTTTGTGTTCCTTTTGGTCTCTTATACAAGAGCAATCCCAAGTACTTCTACAAGCTGTACTGTAACCCCTTTTGAATGTCACTGCTGGTGGAGCTGATATTCATCATTCACTTTTTCCACGGAAGAGATGAAATTTTATATCTCAAATAGCATACCTGTGCTATGTACTACATTTCCCAAATTAAACACCACTCTGCCCCAACACAAATGCTGTAAACCTGGAGCTGGCTTTGACAAAGACTTCAGTGTTATTAGTAGGCAAAGGGAGGAGTGTTTATTAAAACACACATGACTCAAGACAGCTGTGCTTAGACCATATGCATCCCAAAGCGGCAAACCAAAACTCCCCAAAACTTACAAAATACAAACCAGTCACCTCTCAAGGACAATGTGGTGCTTTCATATCCTCAGAGATTCCAAGATAAGCTTTTATATATAGGCTTAAAATAGCAAGACTTTTTTTTTTGTATTTAGTCTTATTCCAGTGAAAATGCCAAGCTCTGCTGCTGTGTTTGTTGTGACTATAAAGGTATTGCATGCATGCCTAGCTCGCTGGAAAAAAAGGTGATTTACAGACTAAGGGTAGAATAATGGCTGGCAATAAGCCAAATAATTTGCTATCTCATGGGACGTAAAAAAACACTGGTTTACAGTGGAGATTTATCAGCTTACTTACCGAAGATACTATTATCTAGTCTACATAAAAATGAAAGCAGAACTACCTGTTTTTCATTTCTCCTCTTACAGCCTCAAAATTACCCACTGATATAAACGTGGATAAATAAACTGATTAGAATGACCTGCCTAAAAAAAGGGACGGGATTTGTGCACCTAGCAGAAAATCCAGTTTTCCTTCTCTTTTTCCTTGCTCTTCTCACTGCATTCATCATAGGCCATTGAGAAACTCAGAAATGTCGCCCTCACAGAAATCTTAATTAAAAGAGCAAAGATCTGAAGAGAAATGAGAGTATGACACAGGATACCGTGCTAATCTGACCTGGTATGGCTATTCTTACTGCTATTCTTATGGCAATGAGAACTTTTATGTTACGTGTATCCCCCATATGCTCAATCACTCTGCATTTGAAGACAATAATGCACATCTCTCTTTTGGCGTATGCCCAAGAAGTGCTTCAGGACTTTCATATCCCTCCCTGCCTCCTCACTCACACCCGTGACCTATATGCAAGAACTTCAGGAAATCCTCATTAGGGTCCTTTGGGATATGATACTAAAACCATTTCTAAGTTAATGTTAGCAGCTGCTTTGCCTGAGTGGATATATACATTTCATGGGGATGAATATAAGAGAAAAATGTAAGTAGAATCAAACTGATCTTCACAGCAAAGTAGTCAATTTGTTAGCAGGTATCGTGCTAAAAAGCAAGATTTTTGTTTCACTGCCATACCACCTTTTCTTTAAATTGCAAGACACATCTGCTGATGAAGTGAAGCGTGGAAGATGTTTTGAACAGCAGGGGAGCAGATACATTAAGTGCAGTAACTCTACGTGCCTAACACAACACTATTTATGAGGGAGAGTCGTAGTTCTCTAGGGGGCCAGAGTGCAAGTGTCCACCCTGCAATAACATCATTACCTACGGCGCGTGAGGGGAAAGGGAGAGATGGAAAAACTACTAGACCTAATGAGAGCAAAGCTGTGATGCCAGTTGCAGCAACAACTACACAAACAGCAGGGATGCCAGCAGAGTTTAAACCACACTCCAAGAAAGGTGTGGTGAAAACGGCTCAGAGATTAGACAGGAGAAGAGCTGAAAGGAAAGTGAAGTTCAAAAGAACGCACAACTTGGTTGCACCTATGCCAATACGGCACAACATCCTGTCCCCATTCAAATTAATGGCAAAGCTCCCATTAATTTCCGTGAGCAGGGCCTGAAAAGAACACCAGCAGCTTTAGCAGCGAGTTTTTCCTCTTACAGCTTTCAATAAAATGAAGACTAATGATAACGGAATCAAGAATTTAAACTAAGATTTAATCTTTCCATGTTCATTGTGAAAGGCGCAGATTTTGTTTCCTATGTGCTGAATAACACGTCTGCAATTTCTTAAAGAAATGAAAAAGACCAACCCAAACAAAGAATATGACCCAAAAATCCTGCAGTCCTGTTCTGTTCTCACCTGGTCTAAAATTGTACTCCGTTAAAAACGTCCGCACGGAGAAATCAACCCTGCACAGTCCGACACATGCATGCCCACGCACACTTCACTTGCCTCTACTCTGGGAAAGGAAGTTATCCTCAAAACTGCCTGCAAAAGCCCTCAGACACTGCTTAACTTTTAACAGGAATGCATTACTGTGACAGTTTCAGCATGCAGACTCTGCAGGAACACCTGTTATAGCGTATGGTAGGCTAAATTTGTAGAGCTGCTGTGTTTTTTTAAAATACAAACCTGACATGAATAAGGAGTTGCTGGCTTGGTGAGGAAAACGTTAAAAAAATTAAATGCAGTAATGAGATGGCAGAAGCAAGTAAAAGACAGAATTCTGTAGGAGTCCACAAAAAAAGGCTCTCATCCCAGAGAAGTCACAAACAAGGCGAAGGAGTGTAGAAAGAAGAGTTATTACCCAGCCCTGTAGATAGCAAGAGGCCCTGTCCTAGATGGTTAACTGCCCTACCTGGACAAAGGCAAATGATTAATTGACTCATCAACTTCCTGTCACGTTGCCTCCCACCAGCCCTGCACAACAGTCAAACAGCCCAGGATTTGACACAGAAAAGCCCTCCAGAGTGAGCACAGACAGCACCATAACCATCATCTCCCCTCCTTTCTCCTCATGCAGCCCCTGTGTAGCAGAAGGCAAGCACGGCACGTCTCTTTGAACCAGATCTGCAGCAGTGGTGACTTCAGACTGGGGTCAGTGGCAGTGAGAAGGAGACCTGAGGCTCTTTGTTAATGACTAGGGCCCAACAAGTTACAGAGACGTAAACTGGGAGAGAACAAAGTTGGCTTGGGAGCCAATTTCTTGATTCCCCTATTTTAATCAGAATTTGTGTACACGCGCGTGTGAATGTATCTATCCATGAGAAGGAAGCAAAAAGATAACATATAAAGAACTTTTTCACTCTGGGCTTTATTTTTAAAATCAAGCCTTAGTGCTGAGAAATTTCAGAGTTGTTCTTTATGAGATACATCTGGGGGACAGTCTAAATGGGATTGCAAAAAATTAAGGCCTATAGATTTTTTTTATTTTTAATCCATGAGGCAGCATGACAGACTGAGGTACATCCTAATTTTTTTAATAGACAAGAAAGAATACTGCATTTTCAGGGAAGTAATTTACATTTTCTTTAGAGATTTTTTTCCCTTTTCTTTACTTTGTGACTTTCTGATTCTATTAATGACACCCATTTCCCCTTGACATGGTGTTACAAGAGAAAGAAGCAATCAGCTTTTCCATAATTCTTAAGGAAAAATCCAATCTAAAATGAAATTGTAGTCCATTATTAATTATCCAAATCAAATTATCAGTGATCTAAACCAGAAAGTTTGCATTGTTAGCAGTCCAAATTAATACACTTATGAATATTTTACAGGACTTTTATTCCAGGACCCTACATAAATTTACCTATTTTGTAATCTGCAAGATTAGCCTGTCTTTCACATGGCCGTTTAAACTGGAGGGACTCCATGGAAGTGGAACCATGCCAGCATAAAACTAGCAGAAGTCTGGCTCCAAGTTTGATGCTTAACTTGAAAAACGCTCTTTGACCTGAAACACTGCCTGATGCATTAAAACTTTTCACCCTTAAAAAGGTCCTTTTTAACGCTGAAAAGTCTGCATGTAGTAAAGGACTTGTGTTTTAGTTTTCAGGATATTCTTATTTATTTGTTCCAAGCGTTTTTATACAAAACTATTAAAACTTGAGGGTATAGGTGCCGGTGTGATTTCACTTAGCATACACCTGGTATGGCTGCCAGAGAGCAGATTATAATCTTTCTTCATCTACCTACTAGAAGATCTACCTGGCTTGAAATTTCCCTTCTACAGAGGAGTCAGTAGCAAGTTCATGGGCATGACTACAACTCTACACTACTCTCCCTTTCCTGCTTGGGAGAGGGGTCATTCTAAGGGGCATGAAGGTTTGCTTTTCTATAACTCTGCTATTCTCTTAGAATAGTTCCTTGGGACACTCGATAGAAAGCCAGAAGAAAAGAGGAGTTTGGTTTTATAGCAAGCAATGTGAACTTCAGAGACATTTGTGGGCTATTTTCCATAAATTCCCCTTCCACTCTTCTTCTGTCCAATCCATGATCTTGAAAGTACAGCTAAACTAGATCACATTCAACACTAATACCAGTGGAATTAGTTCCTTTCTATATCAACCTTCCAAAAATAAAAATCTGGCCTAGAGATTCGTCTCACATCTGAAAACACTATCTGGGTACATCTGACCACTTCAGGCCATTTGGGCTATTATAGCTGCAGTTTCTGATACCACAGCATTTTGAACAGAGAAGCATATCTCACTTTTACTACTAAATTGCAGAAACTTGAAAATAACATGGATATTTAATGTGCATATTGGTTAACAGTAATTTTCAGATTTACAGTCTGGCTGTCCAACACACCTAATGAGACACTATTAATAATAAACTATTTTCACAGCTCCTAACCCCAGTGATAGGATTGTCAAACAGGTGGCATTTGGTAAGTCAGGGTAATCCTAACTAACATGTTGGAAAGGTGATAAACATAATCAGTTCAGACTTTCACATCAAGTTCCTGATCATACACTTTGGAGCACTAACAGCACCAAGATCCAAGCACATTTCACACGGTTATTTATGCAGAATTGTTACCACTAATGAAGACAACTTGTTTATTGCGTATGTAACCTGAATAAAGCATCAACTATGAAGCTGGCTGATAGTCACTTTGACAAAATTGACCGAATCATGTGAAATTGCACTGTCATTTGTTTCAGTGTAAGGGTAGAAAATTCTTTAGAAACTTCTTAAAAACTTTAACATGAGAAAACAATTACTTCAGTTCAGCAGTGATACAAAAATTTAGGTGCTCTACCTGTACTTGGAGAAGCACATGCCAGCACCTAGCCTACGTACATTTCAAAATTATTAATATGTATGTTTTAAAGATATGAAGACATTATCAGAAAATACTTATTTTTATGAAGGTCCCTGAGTATCTCTCTGTATTTATCATCTTTATAAGCAATACACAGAGCAAAATCTGTAGCTATTCACAGGATTCTGTATTAATTTAGCAACTCCTAAGACTTGGATCTATTTATGGAACACTAAAAGCTTACCAAAGAGAAGAACAAATCTTACCCCTAAATATAATATTATTCCATAGAACACAAATTTCCAGAAAAAGCATCGTCGAAGAGCATTAATAAGTTTGGGTTTTTTCTTTGAAGTTGCCAGCTCTCTGTCCCACTCTCTGAAAAGGAACCGAAAAACAAGACCATTAAGTTGTGTGAACAAATACATGGGTCTATGGCTCTGACATACTTCAATTCACTCAAGTATATCCAAGGAGATTTAGCTAAGGTGACTAATGAAAGAAAGCTTTGCAGAGACCCCAAAAACCCGGCCTTCATTGACTTGATAGATCAATAGAAGTTCAAACCTAGTTCAGCCAGTTTTAAATACTCAGCCATACATCACCCCACAGGGAATTAATTCATGAAAAGGTCACATTGTATGTTTTAAAGAAACCTGCTGTACTTAAGACCAAAGCACAAATAATAGGCAAATAAATGTTTTGGAGCTCTTCCAGTCTGCAAAAAACACCAACAAAGCATTAAAAATGTGACTTTTCTACTGCACAGCATTATTTTTAGCCAGTGTTGCTGGGACAATAATTTTCTATTTGATAATAAATTGCTGATCAGAAGCAATGCTATAGACAGCAAGCATATGTTTAGTCAAAATTAAACTCACAGATTAAAGCACTCCTAAGAATTTCCTCAGCTAATTCCTTTCTCCATTTTTCAACAGAATATTAAAGAACCAGAATATTCCATTTATAAACTATCAAAATGCATTAAGCATACTGATGTTCTCAATACTTTCCACCAGTTTTGAGTATGTATGTCACACTGCACTTAAGTTTAATTGGATTGGCACAACAGTGCAGATGTAAACCACCCCTGCACACCCCTTTCCCAGCTATATCGAAGGAGCGGGACTGGATTTAGGCACTTGTACCTGTAAGAGTTAGTCCCAATGGTAGCACAGTTTCTGAATTAGGATCCACTGAAACAGGGTAGAGAAGAGAGGAAGCCTAAATGAGGAAAGTCAGGGCATGATTTCTGCAGAAGCAATTGAAGTCTTGCAACAGTGGTATCAAAGGAAATTAAGAATGTTATTTTGTCGAAGAAAAAATAAAACAAGGTTTTACAAGAATATTTTGGGAAGAAAGAACAGCAGAATGGGGAACTAACATTGAAACTGAGTCTAGCCTCACTAGTCAACGGACAGATGTCACAGGTACCTGTATATAGTAATTTAGAGTATCTAGGTGATACATCTGCACCAGGCATCCCAGCCAGCTCCAAAGGACAACTGTGTGCTGAATGAGGACACGCTTGAGCCAGTCAATGGGTGCAACCAGCTTGCACCCAATGCTATTTAAACATTTTATCCAACAGCTTTTTAATGAAAATTGCAGTGTGATTCCTGAAACAAAGTTATTTCATGAATCTTTCATACCTTTCTAGTTTTTCAGAAAGATTATCGGCAGAGTCCGCAGAAGGGATTTGATAAATATCTGACAGCTCCAACCGTCGTCTGTAACCCTTTTTCAAAATTGGCTTTGTCCATCTAAGCAGAAAAAAAAAAAAAAGTAAAAATCACCAGTTCACCAGTTTCTGCGGTTAATTCTGGAGTTGCATTGTCTCGCTCTGAATATTTTGTCCACAGCGCCCAAGTATGTCTATGTGCACACGCACACACATATATACAAACACACAATATGACATAATATAGTGCAGCTCTGCATTATATTTACAAAACTATATTGACAAACATATCATTAAAAGAATAATTGCAAAACTGTTCCATTTTATCAGTTTTGGGGTGGGATCATGCCCCAAACTTCCTATTCAGTCAGTAGCAGACAAATGAACAGGGGATTGAGACTTTTGTACTGTATTTCCAAATATGTACTATGACCATATAAATGGATAATAAATCAGAACTACAGTAAATTGGACGTATAAGTTTCATTCCTGTAAGACAGAAAATCTTAATATACCTTGAGTGTTTCTTTGACAGCTTACATTGCAGTACGCACTTAACAACACACGAGATTTTCCACAGGACTCCTCATAAGATCTTCATTGCATCCATCATATGTAAACATTTTGCATTTCTTTTTTCAAATTTAAAGGGCATGCTGAATTAAACCAAAGCAGTAAAAAACTCTAGAATGGCTACTCTGCAGAGAAAATCTTCATAAGCCATTACTAATTTTATCGAACAATTCGGCTCCTGAAAGGCCTACGAATCCCCATGTGCCAACTTGTACAAAATTTTGCAGGAGGTTCTGTTTGAAAATCTTTTTGAAAGCACAGGATTAAAACAAAACATAAACAAGCAACCATAAGAACTAATAGTGTATTCTGAAATGCCAATGTGAAATGCCAATGTGATGCCCATCTACAAGAAGG